CGATATTCAGTTTTTCACGTGGAACTCTGCTTGGACCACTACTAGGTTACTCGACAAATGTGCAATATCGTCGCGTTTATTGGGCTATAAAAGTTTTGTCGCTGAATACTGATGTAATTATCGGATTTTGAGCAGGCAGTTTCGAGGAATAAACCGAACCTCGAGGAGCTGGATATTTTGGTGGGAAACTGACCTGTGAAACAGAAAAGTGTAAACAATAAGAACAACATTGATGTTTTTCCTGCAGCAGGGGCATTTAACTAAGACTTTGGGAGTTTAAATATGTTTCTCCCCGAATAACAAATTTTAGATGCTTTTCATCATTTGGTTTTCAGGATAGATAAATGTACATTTTAACAATTTGAATACAGCAAGACAATTGAGACGGTCTCTTAGTGCTTTAAAATAAAAATGTGCTCATTAAAAAGTACTACTCATATTATTTTAGTAGATGTTTATCATTTGTGTAAAACGGAAGTCACAGCGCTCTACGAACAAGGTTTTGTAGGAGACAAAAGCCAATACAAACCACCATGACCGAAAGCAACGGGCCACCTTTAAAAGCCTGCGTGTCGATATTGTGATGACGCCAAGCTATGATTCCGAAAACTAGAGGTGAATTTCAACCAAAACGCTTAACAGATTCTGGAAAATCTTTGGTAGGTTGCTGTTTCGAGATCATGGATACAAGTTAGGATGTTCAAAGTAACGCGACTGGTTGGCGCTTACCCCTAAATGGCTTACGCTAGCTTAGGCGATATCGTGGAACCGAATAGTAACAAAAACAACATCTAGATTACAAAATTACCTGCAAAAGCCGGATGTATCTTTGAAAACGACTTGATAGTAGACTTTTACCCGTCCACAGTACAGTTTGGAGACAAATAATTCGGGAAACTAAAGGCGTGCCACAGGTTGCCGAAAATAATAAGAAAAGTGATTTGTAAATTTCGTCGCAGCGATCTTACCCCTGCAGTAAACAGCAGCTTTTTATCGGTTAGGTCTCCAAGGCCGGCCGCGCACTCCAAAACTCTGCCTTGCGCACATAAATTTGCTTTAAGCCTTCAATGGCAACTGTTTGACTCTGTATTCGTCCAGTTCAACACTGGTGTGAGCTCTGCAAGCGCATTCTCAGCATCGAGAATTCACTAGCTACAACTTGTTTTGTCTCAGAAACGGTGTCTCCCTCTATGCGAAAGATTCTTGACTCGGTATTGAGGCTACTTAAGAACAGTAATGCCGAAATGTGGCTGTCCGTTTTCTAGGCGCTTTGCTTTTCAAAATCTTTAAGTTGAAAGATGAACAATGGGGT